CATATTTTAGTCAAATAGATAAATAAACAATGTAGTACTTGGTATAAAATAGTGTATTGATCCAAGTCACGGAATTTCACATTAACACGTTTAGATGATGGTGATAAGTATAAAAGCAGAGGATTGAAAACGATCATATCAACATACATTAAAACTAGAAAACAAAGATAAGCGTAGAAATTAAACTTATATATTATAATATAACTTTCAAAACTTAAACCAGCATAAAACGTAGATGCAGTTGAGCCAGTTGGATTGACTTTATACTCATCTAAATTCTCTAGCTATCAGATTTTACTTTGCCCCTGCATTAAGACTAATAAAGCTAAACATATCTATACAATAACTGAGGACAAAGAATAGGGCGTTCATGAACTGTTGCCATACTTGAAACCACCTACACCCTAGCAGGAAAACAAAGTGCTTTCAGCAATCTCGTGAACTTTCCTACGGTAGATAATGAGTTATACCTATTTTATGGGGGTTATTGATACTACTTACCTGGTCAAACCTGTGACCCATTGGTTGAAAGTCAGCCACAGCTCCAATGGTAGACCATGATTAGGTGTGCATAACACATATTTTAACATATTTATAAGGACTAGAGATATACCAGAATTAAACATTTTATTTCCTAATTTATATTAGTCTGGAGGCAGTCTACAAGTTCGGACTATTCCCATTAGATTTCATGTTTTTTAAAAGTCCTTTCCATTCCCATACACCTTTGTGTATCACTTGTTCACTGCATAATGTTGCAACTTAAACCGATTCACTTCTATGCCAGGTCCTAAATTGATTTTTCTGCCTACAAGTTAGTTTCAAAGATTACATAACTTCCTGGTCACTGACTTTTATGGTGTAGCCTTCAGTTTCGAACACATATTTTAGTGACTTAGTAGTTGCAAAAATCCATATCTGAGCACATGATTGTCTCATAAACGTGTTCTTATTCATGAAGGTGTTCAAGGAACAGCCGTTAGTGACATCTTATTCACCGAATACTTCTTGGAATTTATTCTAGACAGTTGATTACATTCTTCCCGTTGCTTAACTGTTTCTTTTTTGAGTTTCAAATGGCTTCAAACAAGCGAAACGGCCGTCCACTGTTTAGATCTATCTGATCTGCCTGGAGAAATCTAAAGATCAACCTGAGTGGCTTCTGGTTACCCAAGTAGTTCGTGACACTTTTGTGTCAGCTACTTCTGAACAAACAGGTGCATGTAAAAGCATTCTTGAAGCCTCTAGGCGAAATGAGCGAAAGTAACTCAAATATGGACTGGCAGACAATCTACGCAGTGACCACGAGCTATGGTGGGTGGTGAAGGCTAAAAAACAAAAACACTGGAAATAGATTACAGTGGACAGCTAGTTAGTAATTAAGAAAAATGTGGCGAGAAATTCAACAGCTAGTGAGACTGTTAAGCGAAGAAGAATAGGATTGCAATTCGCTCACAGAGACGTCTAGAACACTTCAGCAACCCTCCATCCACCACTATATTGTCCGCTAATAGACCCTCCGACGTTTGCGGAAGTTGAGGCTTCAAGTAACTTACTATTTAGTGCGCCACCCCAACATCCGATTGTCTATTAGAAATGAGTGTAATGTGCTGCAGTTCGATCTGTTCTACTGTGTGCTTGTAAAACATGACCATTGAAATTAGACGACATGATAAGGCCACAGGTCTTTGACTACCGTCGCCATCATAGCACGGGTCATGTGTCCTAGTGTCATCACATCAGTAACATAGGAGTCAAGCGTAGAGTTTTAGGTAGAGCAAAGTCAGTTGATAAGGTAGTAAAATTTCATCGATCTGGGTGGTTGGAAAATGTGTTACGCATATCTAATCACCGTCTGCCTCGCCGCGCAATGTTAGCTGAAATAGGTTCAGTCTGTAAAAAGGTTCGGGGCCACCAGACTACAAAGTAGCACCACTCCTTAAAGTTCCTGACTCCTAACCTGAGCCATTATTGAAAGATGCAGACTAGCCGGTTGGGGTACACATGACAACAGAAACCAGTGGTTAGAGACGCTAGGCAGTATGGTTCAGAATCAATTTCAGTGGCACAGATGCATACACATATTATCCGCCTCTTAACAGTCAGGCTTAATCTCATTCTTTCTATGGTTTTTTCAACTTTCCTTTTAATCTCTTGATCTTCCACCTTAATGCTTTCTCGCTTGGTGTGCTGATACGTGTAACAGTTTAAACCTCTAAGCAATAATGTCAGGTCGGATGTTGTTATCGACTGACTGAAATAGCTGTTTAAGTCAGGAAAAAACAGTTAGAGGATGATCTTCAACTCTTTACTTAGAAACACAACCTAGTTACCAACTACACAGCCCTCGCGAAATCTGCATATAGAAGCAGGTTTGATAAATCATTAACACAATTACTTCACAGCTTTAATGTCCTATTACAAATGGTCTTTAGTCGTGATAGTTAATCTTTCTAGGTTATCTATCACAACGCACTAACATGTCAAAGTAACTAACGTCTCAATAAATAGCATTGCTGGAAAATGTGGTGTATGGGACCGAGGCATTTTACTGAAAGAGTAAACTTTGCGTTGATTGGTCACTAAGAAGTACCCAGTATCATGTTGTTCAACCTTTAAGGCTGGTCGAATTCGATTAGTTGAGTTCGCGATACGATTTATAAGATCCGAGACTTCCCATCACGCTGCACTTCGAAAAATGTTAAGTGATCGGATGCGATCAATAGTAAGTCTTGTGCCTTATTTTTTATGCATTAGGACACTCGTTAGTTAAGTGCGTTCACAAACTCTTACTCATTGTAATGGATCCCGTCGTCGGGAGATCAGTCGGTGTTCAAACAGCCCGTAACTGAAACACTACTGTGTATTTGGAATCGTTTTAGCAATACCTCTTTGCTAACTTTTACATTTGCGTCGGTGTTAAATGACCCCCCACCAATGTTACCAACAGTTTCAGGATTAAATATCCCGAATGTAACATGACATATTTCTGATTATCAAACTGGACTACTGGTAACACAGTTTACAGACATCTATTTTGTGAAATATGCAGGGAAGATTCACATACACTGGTGGTGTCTTGTTAACCATAAGTAACTTTGTGTGGAGCTGTGGTTCATTGGGTTTAGGCAGTTGACTTCTAACCAATGGGTTCAAACACCAATCCATTTACCAAGGTCCAGACAGTCGAGTAATATCAGTTAGCCCTCATACAACAGGTGTGACTCATTGTCTACTGCGCGAATGTGTACAACGTTGCATTTCAAAGTGACTTCAATTTAGTTGACTGATGTTAGGGCCTCACATACTAGTCTGCATAAGCAAGATATGCATACACAGTCTAAATCCTAACCAAATAACTTAGTGGTAGGTATTTTTGAAAAATCAAGCCTATGGAAATACGCTGCTACAAAGGAGGAATAATAGTTCCTCAAAAAATACTCCTAGACAAAATACAGTTAAAGTAATTCGTGCTTCAATTTTTTTGGAACACTTCTTTCTATGCACTTTCACTATAAGGATCTTGAGTGCTCTGGTCACGGAATGGACATTTTCAAAGATGTATCACACCGGCTTGGTTGACAACCGTGAAAAAAAACTAAGTTACTAGTTCAGAAACCTTATTTGAATCCTATTCCTGTTCATAAACACAAGATTTATAACCTCAGTTAAGGACCAGTTAAATCGATATCTCTATCGGTAAGCATTTTATCGAAAAAGTATTGGTGAAATAGGGGCATTAATGACGTACTTCAAACAACTATAAAGATTGAGAAATTTAGCAGAAGACTTTATACCCACGTTCTCAGAAAGCACAATTAGCACACCGAAAGAGATAAACTCTGATAGGTAACGATGACTGGTTTATATGGCATGGTTTATGGCATAAGAGACTGTTACAAACTTAAACAGGTTATGAATAGTCACCTATGAGCAGCAGCATAAAGAACAGAATTAAGAAACACCAAAACAGACAAACAAACAAAATCAAGTCCAACAGTTCAAGATGCTACACTTTACCAGTGGTATACAAAGAACGAGTGGACAGAAAAAGTGATATCAAGGTAGACAAAACTGTGTGAGAAAATAGGCAGTTTAGCGCAGGTTAGCGCAAATATTCAAGCTTCAGAAGACGTAAGGAAATGAATACATCTGTGCCATTGTGACCGATTTTCAGCCATGTCGTCTAAGGTTCTATCGTCTAAGCAACCGTAGCCACGGAAACACCAAGAATGATGACCACCATCAGTAGGATATTTAAACCTATAGACGGTTGGTGTTAAGAAGTTATTTCATGACATTATATAGACAATTAAGTCGAATGACAAAATTGGATTACATGTATGGTGAATTATATAGGCAATAATCTGAATCGAAGTAAAAACAGGACACGTTGCAACAGATACTGGATGATAAATACTGACATCATTTACATGTAATGAGACGATATCTCTCAATAAGATGAATAATCAACTTTGCGAGTGATCTGAATCAGGAAAATTTCAACCTACTAACAAACAACAAAACAGTCAAAGGTCAGGTAATGAGCAAACGACCTTGTAGCTCATTTGGTGGAACGTCGGGCCGAAAACCCCGTCACTGGTCCGAATCCGGCCGCGGTCCAAATGTTCACTTCAACTTTAATAACCACCTAGTATAAATACGAATAAGACCACTTCAAAAGTCATCAGTAGAAATGCACGGCATTTATGACGCAAATGGTCAACCGACAGGAAAAAGTAGGACAGAAAAATACATAGGATAGAGGGACATTACAAGAGACATGAAACGAAAGTACAGAAAGGTGAGCATAAGAGAATATTCGTTGGAAAAACACACTTCAATACTGGTTAGTTAAACAAGAAACACCGTAATTCCAGGCTGCAAGTCGCCAACATTGCTACTTACTACCACTACTAGGATTTATAATCAATGTATGCAAAAGGGAAAGGGAGCAATATACACTTACAACAAACTTAGGAAAACAAAAGGGAACTTTTCACCATTTAGTTTATATATAGTACAAAAGAACAATACCAATATAAGAACCATAGAGATATACAAAAAAGGATAGATGGCTGGATTTGCCCTGAATACATGGTTAAGAGACAGATAATAGAAAAAGCGACATTTCTGTGTATAAAAATACAGGTGTCAACAGAAGAAAACGTACAATGATAAGCCAATAACACGGGAGGTGGAGCGTATGAAAAACGATAGAGAACCTGAAACACTGAAGACTTCAATATAAATGAAGGGATAGGTATGTGTATGTGCGGTGGCGAATCGGCAAAGTATACATACATAAAGAGATTGGCAGAATATACCGATACATATATAAAAGAATTTGAAAAAATATGCACTAAGTGTAAAGATTACAATTTTGTAAAAGCGTATGTTTTCCAGTTATTGAATTAATTATCCAGCTTTAAAAAGAGAGAAGTTGAAAAGTCAAAAAGAAATCCTGTACAAAAGGTGTATTCCGAAAGCGGTGAAAAAAGCGTAGCCAGCTATTACCACAACTTGGTGCCATTTTTAAGCATTTACGGAACACAATTTCAATATACAGAAGAAAACCATGGTTATAATGAGCATTATTTTCTAGTCTCTAGATTCTGTGAAGTATCTAAATACCAAAGGCGGTGGAGATAAGATAGTGAAAGAGAGAGAACGAAAAAGAAAGAACACAAAGATACCAAATCACAGGTTTCACTGATATGATAACATTTTGACAGTCCTAATTTCATTCCTCAATGAATAAATCTACATAGAGAAGCATATGATGATTAGTCAGTAAAGGTAGGATGAAATCAGAAGATCAAATGAATGTTTCATTGTTGATACCACATTCAAGTTACACATACATAAGTAAAGAAAATTTTCTCATAGTAATAAACAACGAACTTTTTTACGATCGCCTTTGGATGACATTAGAGGAGGCGGTGGCGGTTGTCGTCTGAAATAAATAGACAAGTAGTATAATTATATTTTATGAGAAAGATGACTCTATTATAAAACGGTCATGATAATCAAGTTGAATTTGTTTTTTAAAGGATGAGGAACTGTACATATTGGATTCAACAATAACTGAAACACCTCATTAGAATAATGTATCAAACTTTTTTCCTTGACAAAAACAACTACTGTAGTCTATACAACACACAAATACTGGCGTTAAACCAGTAAATAACAGTTATCATCATTAGCTGACTCCAGAAACACAGCGAAAGCCCACTCGAAATACGAACACAGACATGAATGCTGTACATTGTTGGAATGAAATAAATCAGTCAGTCAGCTTAACACGGAACCTGACATTACTGCGTACCAGTTCCAGTCGTCACAACTCACATAGGTACATCAATGTTGACGGTAACCGAGATGAAAGATGATCAAAAGAAGCAGAGAGTTGGAATAAGAGAAAATGGGCGATGAATCCAATAACGAAACACGATATGACGATTGAGATAATACGCAGATGAGTCCGCATCGTTAGTTTATTAATTTTCAAAAATAAAAGCTGAAATGTAAATCTATCTGATGCATAATATAACAGAGACGATATCAAATATTGTCCACATAATCAGTAGATAGCACTGGATACTGTATGAAACTATCAGTTGGAAGTACACCAAAGAGAAGTACAAAGACGAATAATGTCGGAAAAGATTACATCCTTCTGAAACCATGCATGTTCTGTTCTTATTTTGCTATCTCTCTGGCTCAAGAAATAGTTAGAAATAACTTATACGTTTAGTGTACACACACTGTGAGGAAATGAAAGTGATAGCTTCCTTTTGGTGACAAAAATGAGAAGTCACCGTATAAGTGGGTGTCTAGAATTAAATATATATATAATATATTTTTCAGTATAAATGTGGTCAGATGTGACAAATAATCTTAAAGAGCATTTACAAAAATGGAATACTGTTTATGTCTTTTATAATTTAATTTACTCGAACGACCGCCAGAAAATAAGAGACACTAAACAGCTGCTTTTTCTTAATTTCTTAGATATGAACACTTTTCTACCTTGTTGTCAAAGTACTTTTAATGTATTCCCTCGAAGCAAAACTTATTTAGTTATCCGAATGGACAGATAAAACCAATGTAGAACCTCGCACACAAGTCCATCAGTTCAAGATGCCAAACTTCACAATGGTATAAAAAGATCACGTGGGAAGAAAAAGAATTATATCAAGGTAGAAAAAGTTGTGAGAGAATAAACTACTTGAAAACAAAGGTTAGCGCAAATATTCGAGCTTTAGAGGACATCAGAATCAATACATTCCTGCTATGACCGATTTTGAGCAACATCAACTAGAGTTCTCAACCACTGATTTCCATCGGCTCTTGGACCCCAGTCAAGCAGTCTGCATCTCTACACGCATAGCTCAGAGCAACAGTCAAGAATTTTATGACCTGGTGTCACGTCCTGGTCTGGCCACTCTCAACCTAATCCAACTTCTAGAATGGCATGTCGAGGAAAGTGGTGGATCGGCACACGCAGTACATGCCCAAGCCACCTCATTCGATGAACGCTCACAACTTCATCAATCGACTTGCCTATCTTGCCTTTCATCTTACTTCAACATCGATCGTATGGTGATTCCCCCAGACGCGAGTAATGCTAGGAAGACACCTATGATCAAAAGCCTGTAACCGATTTAAAGCCAAAGTCTCACAGCCGTATAACAAGACAGAACGATCTGCAGAGAAGTATACTCGTTGTATATCTCTCCAGTTGGCGCCACAAGTTGGCAAATGTCAGACGGGCCTTTTTTCGGAGTGAGATTTCGTCAGGAACAAACCCATTCGAGGTGATACAACTCACTAAGTAGGTGAAGTGGTTGACGCATTTCACCCTAACCCTTCACGGTGGTGAAATGCGTCAACCACTTCACGCTCTATCATTAAACTGGCAGTAGTTTCAGACCGGTCTCACAGCATCATCTTACATTCAAATGGATCTTCCAGGTGAGCTATATCATAGATTACATTTTCTATTACCTGGAAATGAGTCATCAGAAAGTAACTGTCTTCCAAATTGGCCTAAGTAACATAGATTTGACAAAGCCAAAGGGATATATTTTTGATGCAATTCATGTCTGAAACACAGGTCGCTATCGCAGCATTCCGTGTGTTCCCCTAGTGTTTGCTGGCGTATTTTGCCAATGCACATTCGATCTTGAAAATCATGTAAGTTTAAGGTTAAAGTGTTTTGAGACATAGTTTAAAGCTAAAGTGCACAACATCATAAACTTTCCATCTGTTATCTGAACCTCATAAAAATAAACGCACATTTAGTGTTTAACGTGACTTTTGTTTCTGATTATTTTTTATTCTATAATTTTGTTCTTTGTATAGTTTATTTATTTCTGTTACCATGCACTTTGGCTTAAAATCTGAATACTTACCAGCTAGATATGTAGGTGAAATGCTTAAACTGTAAACTGTATGAGGCTATGAATCAGCTGTCCAGAAACACAACTGTCAACTACATAGTGAAAAAGTCGAATTCATTTAAGCTTAGTGATGAAAAGACAATTGAGAAGAAGGGGACATCAAGAGAAATAAACACCCAACTGCTGAAAAGAAGGAATTTTTTATTCACCTTACATTCAAGTGAAATGCAACAACCAAGAAAAAAGACACAAGAACCAAAGGGGCACTAAGAAGGAACTTTCCCACAGCTAAACTTGCTTTGGTATACAATACTGCATGCTCACTGAACCAGTTCAAAATTGGATAAATATCCTGCCCAAGTCACATTTAACTGTACTTATAAATTTACACGCCCTTGTAGTAGCAAGTACATTGGAAGGACTAAGAGGAGGCCATCTATTCGGTTTGCTTAACATATCCCCAAGAATCTGTGCCTGAAAGGAAGAAGGATTCTAAACAGTGCAACTGCCAGTCATCAGGTCAAAATCTTGAGTGCTTTTAAAATAATGAAAGTACAGAAAATGTCTGGATTATTAGGCTTTATGGAAGAGATTGCTATAAAACGCTTTCAACCTGACCTCTGCATACAGAAACAGAGTGCAGTTAATCCTTCATTCGGTTGGTTACTATAATTCTTTATTCTACTCACCTATTGTTATCTACCATTATTTATTCCTTTCTCACATTCCTGACCTCTACACAATTATTTTCCTTACATGTGATGTTGCAGTAAAATTTAAGATTATTAACGTCTTAATTTCTAATCATCGTATGTCCTAATGACCATTGTACTTTTAGACTGTATGCAGCTGCGAAGTATTCGTGAAATAAAAATTAAATTTATTCTGTAAACCTCCTTCTTTTTGCTTTGTCCAAAATTGATTTCATCTAGTTAAACAGTTAACGAGAAAAGAAATATACCCGAATGACTTCTTGATATAGTGAAAGGAGTAGAGAAGACTACTTAACTTACCTGATAATTCGTACCATATCGTGGAACATTTTATCCACATTGACTGGAGGATCTTTTGCACTGGTTTCAATGTACGGAACCTTAAAAAGTAATAACAGTTCGAATAATAACCATTAAGCGGGTCATTAAAATAAAACCAGAAAACCTAGTTTATGGTCAAAAAAATTTAACAATTTTATAAAACCCTAGAATCTCCTATGATTGTGAAACGTGACCATCAAACGCAGAAGACATGAGAAGACTTGTGATGTTTGACCACTGTCGCCTTCGTAGTATAGGTGAAATGTCGTGGTGTCAGCATGTCAGTAACACAGAAGTCAGATGTAGAGTTTTAGGTAGGAGAGGAAAGTTAGTTGATAAGGTACCAAACCTTCATTCACCCAAGTGGCTGGGATATACGTTACGCATGCTTAGTCGCCACCTGCCTCGCCGTACAGCGTTAGTTGAACTATGTTCATGTAGTAAAAGTGTCAGATGCGGCGAGACTAAGAAATGGCGTCAGTCTATAAAGTCTTTAACTGTTGATTTGAGCCGTGTAGAGGAATGTAGGCTTTCCGAATGGGGTTTACGTGACAACAAAAATCGGCGGTTTGAAACTCTGGGTGACATAGCTCAGAACCAATCCCAGTGGCATAGATGCATCCACTTTAGCGGTCATGTCTAATTTCATTCTATCCTGTCCTTTTTACGAATTTCTATCACTTTCTTCATATTGCTCTTTCAGCTTGGTGGATTCTCGCTTGATGTGGGGCATGGCAGCTTACACTGCTACGAAGTAACATCAGGTCGTATGTTGATATTGTCTGTCCGTCCGTTTGTCGCTGTTTCTTAGATAAATCATGGGGATTATTTCAAATAACTAATGTCCAACATGGTCCAAAAAATACTTCAGGCAATGCAACAGTACAGAATTATGATTTAGTTACTCATACGACAACTACTGAGTGGTGACTTTCGACTTGATGTGATTTCAGTGAGTAAAGTTGTAACACTACAGTCTTTCCACACTAATCACAAAGAGCATCCTAGTAAATGAAAGCTTGATACTTTTCCGAACAATTAGAATCACAACGACAATAGACTGGCATTTCATAAACACGAAGGATAAAAGCAATAATAGTTAACCTTTAGGTCATCCGCTAAACGCTGTCCTTCTTCTTCTGAAACTTTGCGCTGCTGAACCAAATCAATTTTATTGGCAGCCAGTATCATAGGATAGGAATCACAGTTTTTACATCGTAAAATCTGTCTGTAAAACCGTCGAACTTCGTGAAAACTTTGAGGGTCCGTCACTGAGTACACAATAATAAATCCTTGACCTTTACGCATATATTGTTCTCTCATTGCACTAAATTCTTCCTGACCTGCGGTATCTAATACTAAAAAAGAGAAAGAGGATAAGGTCACCCTGATAAACTCTAACCCACATTAACAATAACACAAAGGTTTAACAAAGACTTGCATTGTCACTATATTCAAATGGTGATGAACAGACATAAACAAAGTATGTCGGTCACAGTTGATACTCTTCCCATCACTACATTCATGGGCTAGATAATATGGAAGTGAGATAAAATTAACCATTGCCAGTCAGTTGGTGTCAATACAGGACCTGGAACTATTACATAATGGTTCAAGTTACTACACATCACCTCGACACATCAAGATACAGAGGAACAAACTACAAGGAAATGGAAGCAATTTAATCTAAAGCTTTTGAAAATCATAAAACGGAAAGAGTAAGGGGTGCAACAAATGAGAGTGATATAATGTGGATGCATCTAGCCTCACTATGGCTAACTGACATACCACTGACAGTTTCCAACTATTCACTTTTGTTGTCAACAAAAAAGAAGACAATGTAACTAAATCAAGACGTGCTGACGTACCAGGCCGAGCCAAATATGTTATATGAGAGATTATGATACTACCTAGTTTTCCAAGCTCACGTCACATGGAGTCCAACTAGGAAGCTTACATTCCCCTACATGGCTAAGGTTAACAACAGGCAGGAACTTGGGGACTGATGCTATGCATTGTTTTGGTCACCTTTGACCTTTTTTCAACCAGTGGGCCGCGGGTTCGAACACCGCCCCGCCTACTAAGGTTTGGGTAACCAGGTGGTAGTCAAACATGGTGTGGCTCACTATCCAATGCACAAACATCCACAAGGTAGGTAAGTGAATTTAGACTCTTTAGTCTTAATCCTACTTTGGCTAACACTCATTATCACAAAGTATGCTACTGAATGAGAACGGGGAAGCAAACAAGGTAAGTATGCAGCATTGAGTTTTATGTTTTGAATAAAGATAAAATGCAGATGTATCCTTGCTGATGACACAGATCTTGTGGCTGATCAGTTCCCAACCGAGGAGCTAACACTATAGCTCAACAAGCTATGTTGGTTTGATAGATTGTTCCTCAGGGTTTTACCATGCCAGATAGGTCTACTGAACAGTGGTAAGAATAACAGTAGTTGCCGTCATAGGGTGAATAATTTGCTCTATGGTAAGGATTCGATGTCAAAGTCATACTGCTGGTCGTACGCGGCAACTTGGGCCGTTACGCAGTAATGCTTGGTCCTAGGTTGATCTTGAAGATGTTGTACAGGATGATAATAATGTTTGCTGCAAATAATAGTAACAACAGCAATAACCTTATCCCAAATATTTGAGTCCAATGCTTCCTCCCCTTATTGTAAAGAATGATAAACAAAGGTTGGTCCTAAAAGTAGCACAATCGTCCTTGCTCCGCAGACTTTCGGTATCAAAAGTATGATTGTTTTCCGCCCAAACATATCAAAGTCGATTCCTAAACGGAAATATCCACAAATATCTTGAGCTCTGTAGTTACACAAAACTGAGCCACTTCCTAATCCAGGCATGTTACAAAGGTACCACAACTACTGTGGTGTGAGCAGCTGGGAAGTGCAATTACCCGCGTGCCCCAGCAGTATGCAACGCCGATCTAATCATAATCAACCTTCCTGATCTTTATCTCTTTCATTGCCTTCACTATCTGCTTCTCTTAACATTACATCTGAAGTTTCCTCAAATTTTTACTCTAACATCATTGCATGCTATCCAAGGCAGCAAAACATTACCTTAGTATCATAAAACCACGCTGCTAAACTCCTGTTGAAGCTATCAGTGTTTAAACACCTTTCTAAATCAGATAACAGGCCTCACCAGCCAAAACTCTAGTAACTCAGAACATGTGCGTAAGATGCACTTTCGAAAAACAGACACATAACACTAACTTGGTTAACTTGATCTCATTTAAGCTACGTACTGAATCGACGAAATCCACCTTGCGAGTGTACAAATATTCAACGGATAGTTTTTGTGGACTCATTGGTGTCAATATGCCACTTGGAACCACTCAACTGCTTTCTGTGCACTGTCAGACTTAATGGATCTGAAGAAACTACAGCAGACCATATTAATCTACGCATATTCGAAGTCACAACCTGCCCAAGCACCAGCTGTTCAACGTTTGAACAATGAGTTTTGCCAGCTGTTTATCTTGAGATATGCAGCAAAAAGTTAGGATAGAGTCATACTGGCAGGCAACTTCAATGCTTTTGAGGAAGCCAAGTCAAGTCGAAAGGTATATTTGAATTGTCCACGGAATTAAGCACCGACAAACATCACAGTACTCATCTCCTACATTTATTTTCTGGCAGTCACCTGTTCTTGAATAACATTAGTTCCAAACATAAGGAGAGATACTGTTTCACCTGGAATCCACCAACATGAAGCCCCCCATGGTCAATAGAGCTAGATCACATCGCCACAAGTTATCGTCGGAGAGGATTAGAGGAGAATAGCTACTCTTTCTTAAGTGTCTACTTGGACAAATGTCATGCGTTAGGCTATACAGGTGTGTCCGTATCTTTGTGGACACAGGAAACGAATAAGTGTGAAGTCGTTTTGCGGTCAATGTATGTATCCAGAAAAGGGTAGCCAGTCATCTGAACATGGCAGTAGCTCAACTGGATTAAACCTGGCATAATATTCAGCCCGCAAAAAAAACACTCGTAGAGAGTTAGAAATCTACATCTATAGGTTACCAAAAGCCAGTGGATTTCCGTAACATCATAGAAAGTAATTGATGCGTGAAGACAGATATATATCATCGTAGAACCCCACACAGAAGTGCATTGCTTTAGTTACCACATCCCACAGCAACATGCAGAGAATAAGTGTATTAAAAATATTGATATCAAAGTAGACAAAAGTGTATGGGGAGAGAAATAAAGATGGTTATTGAAAATACTCACACTTTAGTAGATGTCAGAGTAAATACACCTGTGCAACCTATTTTCAGCCATGTCACTAAGGTTCTCCAACCACTGGTTTTTTTTTGCCTGAAGGATTCCAGTAAAGCAATCTACACCTTTATACACGGCTCAAACGAACAGAGAGCGAGCTCACGGACTGATGTAACATCTTAATCTGCGCACTCTAACCCCTTTTGCTTTGCGGAACACGTCCAATCCACATCAGTTGGTCAATCTTGAAAGCTTCATCGACCGGCTTTGCTCCCACTGAATAGAACTCTCCGTCTAACCTCGACATTGTTTACATGGTGATTCCGCCAAACATAACCACTGTTGATTTGACAACTATAGTCGAAAACTTGTCATCATTTTATATCTTTTTCAGGGGCTATTTTATTCGTAAAATGACAGAGCGAACTGCTGCACAGTATACTTGTCATTCGATAGGTAGTGGGGTATCTCGCTGGCGCCAGGGATGAGTGAAAACAAAAGGGGGATCAGTATAACTAAACCTGCATCAACAAGCCCAGGGTTCATAACGGCATGATGCCTAATGGAAGCTCGGGAACAATGGATTCAAGAAGACCAGGCTGGTTTCAGACATGATCGAGGGTGCACCGATCGGATATTTATTCCTCTAGTTTGAGGATGGAAGTGGTACAATATAATCGGACATCAAAGGCCCGTTTGGCATTTGCTAAATTACATGCCAGTCGTCGAAAAGATATCCAATTGCACATCGAAGAACAAAGGTAGTGGGCAACAGTATGTGTTGTCCTATTATCAGTCAGTCACTTAGTCAATATCAGTATGGGACCTGGTACTACTGAACAACGGTCTAAGTTACCACACCTCACATCAGTACATCAAGGTAGATAAAGACACTAAGATGCAAGTAATCAAAAGTGGTAGAAAGTTTTAGAAAGAGATGAAGAAATGGCTGAATTCGACATGAAGATTACGGTCAAGACTATGTGTGGATGCACGTGCACCACTGAGATTGATTCTGAGTCATACTGTCTACAGAAGTACGGCTGAGACCTGTTTTGAACTGAGAAAGCACAAGGAGGCTGTGAGTTCGCGACCACAGATATCTTTGTAGTTTTGCTCGCATATGGCGGAGCCTCTGTTTATCAGTAATTCTGAAGCTGCACCAAAAGTACTGAGCGAGCTAAGGAGCTAGGAATTTTTATTGACTGAGGTGATTTGGAAGTTCATCACGATTCGCTGTGCTTTCCGGCTTAAGTTAGTAATAACTTCCTGATTTCGTTGTTTCATTCAGAATGTGATAGAACAGTGGTCAACTGACAGGCAGTCAGACAATCTAAAACCACGCATACAAGTGCATCGGGTTAAGATACCACACTTCACAGTAGCATGCAAAGAATAAGTAGCTAGAAAAAGACTGATATCAAAGTAGACAAAAGAAACGGAATTTGAAAACGAAGGTTAGTGAAAGTACTCAAGCATCAGAAGAGTAATTACAAGTCTTTTGAACTGTTCCTTGAGGTTTTACTTAGCATTTTGGTTGTCATGTCTGCATCAAACATCAGTCATTTTTTAAAAAAAATAATGTATCCAGTATGACGGCTGGAATCGATTCTGAGCTATGTCACCCAGAGTTTCAAACCGCCGATTTTTGTTGTCACGTAAACCCCATTCGGAAAGCCTACATTCCTCTACACGGCTCAAATCAACAGTTAAAGACTTTATAGACTGACGCCATTTCTTAGTCTCGCCGCATCTGACACTTTTACTACATGAACATAGTTCAACTAACGCTGTACGGCGAGGCAGGTGGCGACTAAGCATGCGTAACGTATATCCCAGCCACTTGGGTGAATGAAGGTTTGGTACCTTATCAACTAACTTTCCTCTCCTACCTAAAACTCTACATCTGACTTCTGTGTTACTGACATGCTGACACCACGACATTTCACCTATACTACGAAGGCGACAGTGGTCAAACATCACAAGTCTTCTCATGTCTTCTGCGTTTGATGGTCACGTTTCAAAATCACAGAAGAACAGAGCGAACTCCATCGCAGTACATTTGATGCCTAATAGGCAGTGACATATCACGGCGAAATCACAAACGGCGTAAGTTGACGAAAGTCAATCAAGCTTATTTTAACTGTGCAGAGCTCCTGTCGTCCACTAAGTTACCACAGCTGAACTGACTTCCCAGTTACGTTAAACACGCCCAACCATTTCACTCCCTATTATTAAAGAAGGCACCAATGAAGACTAATACCTACAACAACAATTCTCACTTAGATGGTGAGAAATGCACTTCTGGGATTCTCACATTGCCACTTAGTATACAGAAGACTCTGTATCTTGTCAGCATCACCTAACAGAACCATGTCATCTCTGTGCTCGAGGTCTACTAAAGATTCTTATGTAATACGATGAGGTCTTGCAAAGTCCAAAGACGAGAGAGAGAGAGAGAGAGACAAAATGTAATAATAATGGACATCCTCGATGGACACCACTCAACGTACACAACACACTATAGGCTTCGGCATGCCTGCGGGTGTTCGAGTATAAAGCCTTCAAGAGTGATGCAATTACTCGGCACCTCTTTTAGTGAGACAATGCTATAAAGATCTTCGATTCAAAGAATCAAACACTGTCTTCAAACCGGGAAATACAACTAGCGTCGAGTGTCAGTAAGAGTGCTTGTGTTACAGAACCTGGCGGAGGGTGAATATCTGGTCAGTACACCCACGAACAGGTCTGAGACCTGCCTGGTTATCCTCGAGTTTTCTTTCCCAAGCTCCACAGAGAAGACGCCTTATAATTACAAAACCTAGAATCTTAAACAATATATTCATCAGACTGATTCCCCTGTGGTCATCAGAAGACAAATCCTCACCTTTCCTGAAAAGCAGAACAATCAGTGACTGAGACCAGACACAGCGGACCATTTCTACTTCGCCTATGTCAACTAACATTTGAGTTATTTTGAACAATAATCTGTAACCACCGTCCTTGTACACCGGTAGTCATCTCCAGCCATACACATGATTTTAAAGAAGTTGAATCAAATATTATAGGACAATGAGTGACAAATTGAGAGAACAAGTGCTTTAACCGACATAGCTCGGGTGGATTATTATAACAAGATCGAACCTTGGGGTTCAAAAAAAGACACCATTGGGAGGCATCAATATTTCATAAAGACGCTGTCAACAATTAGTTGAGTGAAAGAACCACAACAAATAATTTGAAACTTTTTTGAACCTCATACCCATTTTGTATGCATATCTTAAAGCTCTGTCAGTTCTCTGTTAAACAGTTTATCACCATGTTTGAATGCATTTATAAAAACGAATATTTCCAGTCAGTTTAATATACTGTAAAAGCTAGGAACTCAGTAAAGATACATATGCAACATACATTCCATATCCTTCACTTTCTGTAAGATACATTCTCCCCTTTTAATATATATATATTTCATGTAGCTAATACATTACGCGATAGGCATCGAAAGACAAATAGCATACAAGTATCTTCCTTGACAAACAAATATCAGTTGCAAACAATACTCAGTGCATAAGTAGAAATGTTTTTGAAAAAGTGTTAAAGCACAACTGGACTTTATTATTTTCTGATAAGCCGTATGATAAACTGCACTTTGTATAATTACGTTAATTAAATGGATATGTAAGGTAGGACGGGAAAACAGGATGCAGCGACGTAGTAAGGTTTAGAATCAATCACAGTAGTATATATGTACTGAAAAACATTTAAATTTGGAAGCCATACTATCATGCGACGTTTGGTGCTCCTCTGCTAAACAGCCCTATTTACAGTTGCTAGTATCATTCAAATTTTTCTCTTGTGTTGATTTTTCTTGTTCGCCAGTGGTAACTTTGAAAAAGCATTTCTGACACGTTTAGCACTACCTGTTGAACACTTTTCTATCCCTTGACAGGTGCATCCGTGTAATTTTTGACTAGGTATTGAACCAGTACCAAATGAACACTGATTTGGGAACTATTAAATCTACTTTAGGTTTACCAGTTAGGCTAAGAATTGAGCTTATAACACCATTTTTAGCTCCTAACTAACTTAATTTTCCTTCAGTCTCTAACAGTAGAATAAAACCCACATTAGCATCCAGTAACTTAATTAATTTGCTAATTTATTCGCGAAGTCTGATGAATATGTAGATTTTCTTTAAACAACGACGGGTTATTTCGAGTGCACTACAGTTAACTTCAAAAAAAAGATGAGATCATCAAAAAGTAATTGTTCACAACTTACACTAAGTTGTGAAACATTGTGACCATTAGACATAGTAAACACTAATGCTTTATAATGATGGCTTCTGAACCACAATAAATCTCGTCAGTAACAGAATATGCCATCTGGCCTCCTACACCTACATGTTTTGCTAAATTTGTAGAATCGTTCCTGGTGAAAAAAGCGCTTGCCATAAATATTTTAGACCGTGACATCCCCACTTTAAAAGTTAGATCACAAACACCATTAAGTTTGAGGACACTTATGAGCTTTAGGAAAGTTCACAAGTATTCCGTTACTTCATGCCAGAACTCACATGGTGATTTTAAGTATGCACAAGAACTCTATCAAACAAAATGATGCTACATCGAAAGAAATCTTAGAATATGATTTTTAACTGGAAGCGATAACTTCATAAACTTCGAGCGTACTTCTAAGACTTTGGGACTTCCAACAATTTCGGTACAAAATTGAGTCTTTCCAAAGAGCTTATTAAGCATCTCCAGGTGCTTCCTAATGACTTCATGGCGTCTTTACCCAAAACTTCCAACGTGCGCCCAAAGTAAATGCTGGCTAGGATGTCGAGCACTAATTAACATGTGCCAGCCTACTATAGAAATGCCAGAAAAGTAGGGATGCTTGGGATAGACGAAGTATACAAGAAAAGGGACTGCATAAGCACAGAAATCAGACAAACTATTAACTCACCATCCAAAATACACCATTCATTATCAATCTCATCATTTTGAATGTATGAGTCCTCTATCGTTGGATCATGTTCTTCAAGGAACATCCGTTGAAAATACTGACGCAAGTAAAAAGAGTGCAATTTATTACCTGGATTGTCAAGGCAGACTTTCCGACGCCTCCATCACCCACAACCACAATTTTGTAAAACGGCCTACCGCAAGTGTCAGCTGGCAGCCTCTTCGAAGTCATATGCACAAATAGTACCGACAAACAGCTTATTCGAAACACGAATTTTCCAGCTTAAGTGTCTGCAACACCATGCAAATGACAAACCTCCCTGGTGGCCTTCGACTGCTTCTCCGCACAAAAAGGCAATTTTCCACCGTTCAAAAATGGCGGTCTAAAGTTCAATGGTCACACAAAACGAATTGTGCTAGATTTGAATTTAAATCACCGATCATGGATTCCAGTAGACAGATTTTGCAGCAAGTTAGTTCAGGATGTATCCACCTAACTCCATCCATCTAGACTATCCCAAGTATCCTTATTTTTTTAATTTAACAGAAGGTAAAATACATCACTGCAAGTGGGAAAATGGTACATTCGAAATCTGTCCTGAAGTATGAATTCACTTCTACGATACTCTTTTGAGGCGCACGGCTTTTACTTTATAAGCCATTTTCGAGAGTTTCGGGGCAGTTAAGGTCATTGGAATGCAGAGAAATCTTAGAGGAGCAATTACTTATGCCGCGTGTAAAAGCAACTGTCAGTTGTGTCGAAAGATTTTTTCGTTCCTTCCAAGCGCACTCACCCGTGAATATCTCTAGTGCCAGTGCACAGAAAGGTGCGGAGAAGAGAACATTCAATAAGAGTGGAGAGAACTTTCAGGACACCAAGACTTCATTTTCTTCAAGACTTAGTTTACACGCAAAATTGCTTCTGTGGGGGTTCGTGACTTTCTAAAGTACCAATTTCATGCCTCTAACCATAGGTAGGTGAACGATTGAAAGGATGTTTTTGAAAATCCGGTAATGCGATAGGCTGGTTAAAAATCAAGAAATATTTAATCGGACTGCACTTAAGCACATACAGTGCTAATCCACAGTTTTAATAGAATTACGTCGCTTTCAATATGATGTGTATCTGAAAGTACATCCTCTTTAAGTGCCGGTGGGTAGCTAAACATAGTTCAGGTCCTCAAGCATACGAATGAAGTTAGCAGCAGTCACTACATGTGCGTAGGACACAGTGTGCATTCATGCTGGCCGGATCGTACAACTCATGCTGTTAGGATACATGTGGTTCGAACAGGTCTGTTTCACAATAAAAGCAAGTCAATCCTTTAACATGCTAAGTCCGCTGAAGGTAGATAGACGGACATCAAAGCCATAGGAAAAGCTGTGATTTTACTTTGCCCCACTCATTCTGTATAAAGCTAACTTACACTTCACGGTCCCCAACACAGTTCAACAAATTTACGGTATCTGACAGTTGAGTTGTTTCATTGCTACAGTGTGTGCTCAGTGACCTCGGTTTATTACAGCTATTTAGTGCCTGACATTCATATCAAACCAGGCTGAGTACGATGCCTCTACATCACGTTTATGAAGTCTACCCATTACACTTGCTTTACTATTGGCCCAACTAGATCAAATTCTAAGGAGATCCTCAAACAGTGGGTCCTTCTAGTGATTGGGAACTTAGACTGCATCAAAAACAATATCCTCAGTAGTGTGAAGGTACTCCCAAATCTTAATGAATCAGCAAAATATATTTCACACTCAATTCATATGCACGGCAGACTTAAAGGCTCTACTGGAGCATTCACATGTTCGATTGAAAGTCTTTTCCGCAATAGATTTTTGAAAATATGGGTGAAACAGCACCAATTTATCCACCAACTGCCGACCCATTTCCTACAAAGTGCAGTAAGATCAAAAGACGGGTCTAACTTTAATGTCTTCATGAAACCCCTGAGCAGCAACAAATATTTGGCGCATTCGGGTGTTTTGAATCATTTGTGGTAACTTTACCGGTTATTGGAGGGCCTTACATTGCCGTTAGTTATGAGCGATTGAAGTGCAAGGAACCTTCCAAATCAAGTTAAAGCCTTCAAGGAAGCTGGTGATAGACCTCAATTCAAGTACAACACTCGGAAACTGAAGGATGAAACTACAAAGGAGATCTTCACGGCAGCCAGCCATCAAGACAAAATGGGAGATATCGAGGAACATCTCCAAAGAAACCTGTGTGGAAGAGCACTGGAAGTCTTTGAAAGCTATGTGGAAAGAAACCTGCATAACCGTATTAGGAAGGAAGAAGAAAGAAGACAAGGAATGGATCTCGACGGATACCTGGAAGCTGATAGAGCAGGGAGAGGAGGATGGTGAAACAGAAGATAAACCAGTGCAGTGCAAGGATGCTCAACGACATGGGGAACTGAGCACAATGTATAAAACACTACATTGGACAAAGAAGTGAAGAAGAGTGCACGCAAAGACAAAAGACACTTCTACGAAACACTGGCAAGTGAAGCAGAACAGGCTGCAGGTAAGAGAGACAGAGACCTGACGACATTGTATCAAATAACCAGGTTGCTATCTGGGAAGAGACCAACACAGATGGAACCAATAAAAGATGAAGAAGGAAATTTAATTACGAAAGAAGAGAAACAAGGGAAACAATGGGCCGACCACTTCAAGAAGCTCTTGAATCGACCACCACCTGCACTTCGTCCAGAAATACCACCTACAGCCCAGCCGCTGAACTACAAGTGAACATAAATCCTCCAACGAAAATGGAAGTCCTGAACGCCATAAAGCTACTGAAGTGCGGGAAAGCAGCAGGACCAGATGGAATACCGCCAGAGGCACTGACAACAGACGCAGAGACAACAGCGGACATGCTCACACCACTGTTGCAGAAGGTGTGGAAGGAAGAGAAGGTACCTGGCTAGTGATTGGAAGAAGGGTTACCTTGTCAAACTGCCGAAGAAGGGAGACCTCAGTGATTGCAAGAACTGGCGCGGAATCACTCTCCTGTCCACCCAGAGCAAGCAAAATATTAAGCCGCATCATCCTGGAGAGGCTAAGGGATGCACTAGATTCAAAACTACGACCGGAACAGGCTGGCTGGTTTCAGGAAGTACAAATCATGTGCAGACCAAATTGCAACGCTACACTGCGCATCATCATAGAACAGAGCATAGAATGGCAATCAGCTCTCTGCCTCAACTTCATCGACTTTGAGAAGGCCTTTGACAGCGTCGACCGAGAAGTAATTTGGAAACTGCTTCAATACTACGGAGTACCGCAAACCTTCATCAGCCTCATTCAACAACTATATGAAGATGCCACATGCCAGCCAAGTGATCCACAATGGGAAGCTCAGTGATGCCTTTGGGGTGAAGTGAAGACAGGAGTGAAACAAGGTTGCCTACTATCCCCCATGATATTCCTGATTGTGGTGGACTGGATTATGCAGCAAACAGTAGGCAGCGAGAAGAGGGGGATACGCTGGCTGGACTGCGGAAAAGAACCTAGAAGACTTGGATTTCGCCGATGACTTGTGCCTAATGTCACATAAACTTGAAGATCTGCAGGCAAAAACTAACAAGTTGATAGAAGAGGCAGCGATGACGGGACTTCAGGTGAATATAGAGAAGACAGAGGTGATGAAGATACCGCACCACCACCATCAACAACAACAACAAACTCCAACCACCGTCAACGGGAGAAACTTAAAGGAAGTAACCTCCTTCACTTATCTAGGAAGCACTGTTTCAACTACAGGCGGCACGGACGAGGACGTCAAAGTCAGAATCGGAAAAGCAAGACAGGCGTTCATTAGCCTGAAACCAGTGTGGAGATCTTCTGCACTCAGCATGCGGGACAAGATGCGGATTTTCAACACCAACGTCAGGTCAGTGCTTCTGTATGGTTCAGAGACTTGGCGCGTCACGAAAGGGATTTCCAATAAACTACAGACATTCACCAACAACTGCTTGCGCTGGATCGCTACTGGAGATCAGATGGCCAGAAAGAATAAGCAACAAGGAACTCTGGGAACGAACCAACCAAGAACCTATCACGCAACAAATATGCAGGAGGAAGTGGAGATGGATTGGCCATGCACTGAGAAAACCGACTGAGGACATCACGCGTCAGGCCAGTCACTCGAGTGGAATCCCCATGGGAAGCGACGAGTTGGACGTCCGAGGGTGACATGGAGGAGGTCGTGTGAGGAGGAAATGAGAGCTTCTGGGCTGTCGTGGGACCAGGTTCAAAAGATTTCAGAGAACAGAGGTCACTGGAGGCGTGCTACTGAAGCCCTATGTTCCACTAGGAACCCAAGGGACTAATAATAATAATAATAATAATAATAATAATAATAATAATAATGAGCGATTGACCGATTATATGTTGTCGTGACGGACAAGATGACTGGGGGAATTGTGAAGACGACTAGCTTTCGAAATGCTGTTGACGCTTATGTTGTTTCCGTTTCAATTCATCATCACAAAAATAACATGATACAGAATTTTGCTCAGTTGGATATAGTTAACATGTATCGTGCAAGAAGTGGCTATCGTGGCTCGGTGGTCTAGTGCGTAACGCCCTGGCGTCTGAAGTGATCGGTCCTGAATTCAAGTCCCGGTGGGAACATTATCACTCATTCGGAGACTGGTACCCCCGAATGACAAGTACAAAACAGGACGAGATGCGCATGCCGGCTTCCACTGCTATCCGCTATCCATCAATAATATATATATTTAGCGTGATTTCCACGTTTCACGGAAGTAATGCGTATTTAGCAGGGAATATTAAGTGGGTTAATGAGGCAGCTTGTTGACGTTAGTAGCACTGCTTTGCCAGTATTCAGCGGCTGTTAAATATGGGAAAGCCATCTTGTCAAAGCTTAGTCCGTCTCTCTTCTCACCGGGATTTTTTCTGTTCTTCATGCCTTTCGTCTTTCGCTGCGGAATGAGTCTTGATTTTACGGCTCGAGAAAATCATGAAGTTACCGGTTGAAACGAAATGTATTGCTTTTCAACCATATAATACAATATGTAGTATAATTATATAATAATATAATGTGCATGTATATAATATAATATGTAACGATCACTGACTTCATGCGACGTCATTTTCATTTCGACTGGGAGTTCCAATTTTTAAGTACAAATCCATGAAAAATCTGAGAACTCAAGCAAAAGCTCTAGACGCTTTTGGTCAGTGAAATACTCCATCTAAGATCTTTCGTTTTAATATCCGTGACGCAGAGCGAACATGTTTCCGCTGGTTACGGTCACCGTGAACACGTGCCGGTGTGACAGTTTCCCGAGTTTGTGTCCTTCTTAAAACTTCGTGGCTCCAGGCACTTCCTGGCTATGT